GGGTGATAATTGAAAACTATGAGAGTTATAACAATTGTAAATATTTCAGGTAAAGGTAAATGCACACCGGATGTGCCACGCCCACTTCAAAAATTTTAATTTGTCTGTGATGATGTCTACATTGTTAAATAATGTTCAAAATTTCAAGTCTTTACAATCATTAGATCATGAGATATTCGTAGTTAAACTTTTTTTTAGGGCAACGGTGACTGTCGGTAATTTATAGACACCGTGATTTTACGCACAGTTACTATAGAAGTCAGTACAAAATTTTCGATTTTTAAAACGCGCAATTTTGATCAAAATATCAAGTGTGATATATCGCCAAAAAGGAGAGATCATGCACTCTAAGAATATATAAGAAATTGTGTTATATGTTAATTAGGTCACGTGACAGAGCTCTTCAAAGTTAAAAATCGCGATTTTCAAATTGCTGTAGAACCGGAAGTTAACAATGCACAACAAAAGTGAAGATATTATCGGATATATCTCGTAAGGGGCAACAACTTTTGTTCAGGTCACAAGGTCACCAAAGGTCAAAGTCACTAGATATGAGCCTTAATATTTTTGACAATTACTGAAAACATAAAACCGGCAATAAAAAAAATACGAATCCAAAATTCAAAAATCGGCTTCCTAAGTTTTGTTAGCAATCGATTTCAGATTCTTTAGACACAAATCACACAAATCAGATTTACCCCTGAAGCTTAATATCGATTTTTACAAAAATTGGTCACATCAAGATGGCGTCTAACACGTTACTTCCGGTTCAAATTTTTTCATTCCAAAATTGTTATAGTGACAATTTTAACTAATTTCAAAAAGAATTTTTCAAATACCTACAAAATTCCGGAAGTTGAAATTTCAAGTTTAGAGGCGAATGACGTCAAAACCGGAAGTGATATCGAAATTTTGAAAATAGATTTTTGTCAGGAATCTACTATTAAATTTTGAGACCGATTGAAATAAAATTGTAGAAGTTGAAAAAAACGCTAAAATTAAAACAAAAAAAGTCAGCGACAAAAGTCAAAATCTGAAATTTTATAAAGTGCTATCTTTTAGTCATTGGTTTAAAGTAATGAACAAAACAAAAGTTACGGTCAAAATAGATGCAGAATTAGAGCAGTAATTCGAAATACGTAATGAATGGTTAACGTCATACGTCATTTCCGGTTGGAAGAAAATGCGTCATTTTACATTTAAACAGTAGCGACACGCAAAGTATAAGAAACTAGAACCACAGGCTTCGCGAGGTTCTGATGCAGTGCGTAACAGTTTTGATTTTACACTTAAAACTGTGCCGCAAAGTATCGTAACAGTAACATAATTTCCTATCATAATTAAATGGATATAGATCGCCCAAACGCAAAGCATATTCGACAGATCGCTTCAACTCACATTGCATTCAACAACAGTTGAAGGGAGCAAACTACCTTTATCGTTTAGACCACACAAAAAACTTACAAGAGGACTTTTTCAAGATAAAATTCATCAATTTTACATGGCGATAAAATCGGAAGTAAACATCGTACAATAAACGTTAACATACCATTGGAAAGATCTCGTCGAGAGCTATCAAAATTGTTCTGGTCACATGATCACCAAAGGTCAAGGTCACGATATACGACCCTTTAAAGTATTCATATTTTTCAACCGGAAATAAATAAAAAGCAAAATCAAAATCAAAAATCGGTTCTCAAATATTATTTAGCAATCAGTAGTAGATACCATAGATATCAA